CCCCCCCCCCCAGGCTCGAGTGTCAGGGGCATGGAGGCTAGAGGGGGTTGATTTTAGCACCCGCACTGGGGGTAGGCAGAGGGCCGCTGCCTCATCAGTAGAACCTAATAGAGAGGGCACTGTAGATCCTCAGGTCCCGTCAGGTTAAACACCCTAATAAAGAGGGCGCCGTGGATGCTCAGGTCCTTTATGAGGTTAACCATACCCTAATAAAGAGGGCGCCGTAGCTCCTTGGACAAGCGTTATGTTCGGGGCAGACTCAGAGAGAGCAGGCACACAGTTCTGTTGCACGGGGGCAGCGGGGTATTGGGCTCGGAGTGGAGGGATTGAGAAAAAAAAGAGAGAAATGGACATGGACAACAGTTGTGATTGTGGAAGAGGGGTTGGGTGGAGATGGAAGAGGGCAGAGTGGGAATAAATGGTGATGGGGAAAAAGAGATTGCTTTCCTTTCTATCAAAAGGTCCCTTCCAATGCTTAGATTTTTTGACCTGTGACATTTTGCTTTGACGTAATCTAACTGCCAGGAAGGCTGCAGCTGGGTCCCATGCAATGATGTGGAGTCTGAGTCTTTCTTTCCCTTTGCTCAGTTCCCCAGGGAAGTATAGCCCCTAAAAGAGGCACCTGCAGTGTAGTGAGTAGGGGTAGGATAGAGGAGTGAGTTGGCAAGGGACACGGTCTGTTTGTAGACTGAGGACGGGCCCCAGCCTTGGAGAGCGCAGGGTGCTGCTGGGTTCAGGAAGGAGGCCCCCTCTGTGCAGGGGTGATGGCCTGTGTTTGTTCCTGTTGACCCTGCCCGAGGACACATGACTCCTGAGGACACGGCAGAGGAAGGCTCTGCCAGGGAAGTGTGAAGTAAGAGACCTGGCCTGGTGCCACCGAGTGAAACAGTAGCTCCACTCTAAAAGTTGCAGTTGAATCTGGTCATTCTCCACGTGGCCTTCTGCCATTCTTGCCATGTGATGCTGCGTGACTTCCAGGCCTCAGCCTGCCTCCTGGAGACTTGCCGACTCAGCTGCCCCGTGGCTCTTGCTGGGTGTGCCACCCACCTGGGCCTGCAGAAAGGGTGAGGTAGAGATGATGGAGGTGTGAGTTGTCTTCAAAACTGCCTCCCCATGTTCAGTGTTAGGTGCCTGTAATTTAAACTCGGCAGAAAACACGTCTCTGTTCTCTTGAAATGGGCCCAATAATGCGAGTGTGGTGCCAGGGCTAGGAACCCAAAGACTTAGGGCTGGTTAAGTACACCAAATTCAATAAGCCCGTGGTGAATTCTGGCCTGCAGGCCACCTGTTTGAGACCTCAGGTATAGAGGTGCCATCTGGTAGGGAGCAAGGGTAACACAGAACCTTGATTTTGTTGTTACATTGATTAAATTTACTTAAATGAAGGGGCACCATGCTGTGTCCCTTTCTGAGTTTTTGCAGCACAGTGGCTAAGATCACAGGCTTTGGAGTTGGGCATACCTGAGTCCAAATCCTGACTCTGACTTAGAAGCCAGGTGATCTTGGGCAGGTAACTTAGCATCTCTGAGCCTCAGTTTTCTCATCCTTAAAATGGGAATAATAATACCTACCTTCCAGGCAGTGATGATCAAAAGAGAAAGTACCTGTAAAATTTAGAATTGTGCCCGATAGATGGGAAGAGCTCAGTACAATAACTATTATGATTTAAATACTTTTTTTACAAATGTGCTTTGTGTTTCTTTCTTCCCTTTCCCTGCAGCACCCAGTTTGGCCTTCTCTGAGGTCAGCACCAAATAACCCACTTGAGAAAAAGTCAACTGGAGGAATGCCAAAAGCAGAGCAAGCCTTTTAAGAAGAAAGGAGAGCTCCCTTCATCATTAGGAGGGCAGAGATCTCCCGTGCACCCTGAGTTGCTCTACCAGTTACCTCAGACCCCCACCTCCCAGTTGTCCCCCTGCCTCACTGGTTGGTCATGGACTGAAGATGGAGGATTTGGAGCCTGGCAGAAAGATGGGGCACCTCTGGAGGAATAGGCCCCACTGAGGGAGCATGGACTTGGTTCCTCTGGAGTGGACACTGGCCCTGGGGACCCTGGCTGAGCTGCCGTAGCAGCGTCTGGCACGCCATCCGACCAGACCCTCAGCTTGGGTGGCATTCTTTGTGGATGAGTTATGGGGAAGGGTCACAGGCATAAAAACCAACCCAGTGATTCCCTTAGCACATTATCTCTAAATAAATGTGGTTTGTGGAAATCATCCTGATTTTATTTATTTACTTTTTAGCCCTCACCTGAGGATATTTTTTCTATTGCTTTTCAGAGAGAGTGGCAGGGAGAGAGAAACATCAGTGTAAGAGAAACACATTGACTGGCTGCCTCCCACACGTGCCCTGACCAGGGCCTGGGATCGAGCCTGTAACCGAGGTAGGTGTCCTTGGCCGGAATCGAACCCAGGACCCTTCCTGAGAGTCCAAAATCATCCTGATTTTATGCCTGGCTGAGGGCGAGTGGAGTGTTGGTGAGGAACTCATGATCAGCACTCCTGAAACAACTGAGGGACTGGAGGAAAGCCACCTGTGACTTAGCACATTGCGATTGCTTTTGGTCCTAGGATTCAACCCAGCACTTCTTGATTCCGGCTGGGTATGAGTAGCTGGGGCTCTGCCGAGCCTCACCGAGGCGTCCTGAAACTCCTAGGTGGAGCTAGGCCTTTCTTTTTCAGACGTGACACTCATGGGTTGCTGACGGATAGCCGTCAATTGAACTCTTGGTCTGAAATGTAAGGTTCCTATACATTTTGGTTACTATTGTAAGATTCAATAGGGTTAGTTTTAAAATCTTTGGTTCTGAGCTCCTATTTCTAGCCTGGACTGAGCTCTGTCCCCCCTCAACTGCTGTGGGCCCCTCCTTGTTCTCTGCATCCCACCCCTCCCATGGAGCTGCTCAGGGCATGGTGAAGAGGTCTTTCGCGGTTCTTTGACTTATGGAACAATTTCAAGTGGAGCTACATTTTTAAAAGTTTCCTCTAACTCTCTAAACATTGGGACCCTCTCATAGCAGATCCGTAATTTACTCTTTCTCTTTGCCAACTGTTCTGGGATCTCCACTTGGAGGCCTGAAGCCTCTTTTTGTTCTTGTTCAGCCATGGCGAAGGGTCGTTAACTATTTTCCTCTTACCTTTTAGCTCTAAATAAGGAATGTCAATTTTCAGTATATGTATGAAAGCAGCATCCTGTCCAAGACATACAGGGAGGGGACACATGATGGCCTGGGGAAGTGGTTTTGTTTCTGGGCTGTTAAGCAATGTGTTGTCCTGGGCTGAGTGACCCCTTCAACTTCCTCGAGTACTGTCTGCACAGGATTAGGCGGGTGGACGGTGGTGTCGCATCTGCTGACCTGGCTCAAAGGGAGTAACTGGGATAAGAGCTGAGCGGTGGGCCCTGCAGCTTCCACAGCCTCCTGCAGGGGGCGTCCGGGCCACGCAAGTGTGGGCGCCCCTCCAGGGTCTCACTTGCCCAAACTGATTCATTCGAAGTTTGGCGTCCAGCCTGGGTTCAGCAGTTGTAACTGAGGGGAAGGGAAGGGGAAACCCACTTCTCCCCACCCCCATGGTCCTACATCCCCACGAACCTCCCTCTTGGACACAGGATGGAGGCAAGGTTGAGAGTAGAAGTCCACAGCTGTCAAATACTAATTGTGCCTAAAACCAGAACAGCCCTGCAGGGGCCAGGAGAAAGACCTGCTCACTCCCTCATGCCCTTCTCCTAGGGGTGATCACCTATTACATCCAGGAACATAGAGGCCTATGGCAGAGGGAATGGGCCTCGTGGTCAAACAGGCCTGGTTCAAATCCTGGCTCTGCTCTCTCTCTCCAATATCGCAACGTACTTCAATTCTTTTTTTGTTTTTAATATGCCTTTATTGATTTCAGAGAGAGGAAGGGAGAGGAGGAGAGAGAGAAACATCAGTGATGAGAGAGTCATTGATCGGCTGCCTCCTGCACACCCCCTGCTAGGGATCGAGCCCGCAACCTGGGCATGTGCCCTGACCAGGAATTGAACCTTTACCTCCTGGTTCATAGGTCGATGCTCAATCGCTGAGCCATGCTGGCCAGGCTTTACTTAAGTTCTTTGAGGCTGTTTCCCCTGCACATGACATGGAGACTCCTAGGGATTTCTGGAAGGACTAAATGAGGTCATGAGGGACTAGCACCTGGTCTGAGCCCTCCACCCCCTTCTGTGTGTTTTCCCCAGTCAGATATTTCTTCTGGTGATTCAGTCCCCATCTCTCATCAATTGTTTATTCTTTGTGCAGAAAGCCCTTTAACCCCAAATACCCAAGTCCCTCTCCCCATCCAGACAGAGAGTTAGGAAGTGAGCCCAGGGAAGTTTTGCATAACTCAAGCGTGACATCTGAAGGGCAGGAGAGCTGCTGGAGATGGAGCGAGCTAGGCTCCTTGTAGACCTGTCTGCAAGTGTTTTGTACATGAATTCACTGTGTTTAAGTCCCTAGAACACCAGATGCTCCCACGTTTGAAGGCTTCCAGAAGCACACAGGCTTTGGCCAACTGGAAGCAGCCTAAGGGGGAGAGGGCGGGCCACCCTGAGTGATGAAGAAGATAGTAGCTCCAGAGTTTGGCGACTGGAACCGAGAACAGTTCAGTTTGTCCACTGGGGGCCTGTGGAAGGCGTGCCTTCTTTAACAGGTTGCAGCCTTCCGCCAGCCCTCAGCCTTTTGTTCCTTGCTGCCAACCCCCCTTTTCCCTATTGCCTGGTCAGTATGCTTACATGTCTACATTAGCCCTTCAAAGATAAAATAAAATACTGTGTGTATGTATGTGTGGCAGGGGTCATGCTGCTGCTGAATCAGCTCAGTTACTTAGACCCAGAGAATCTAAGGTTGCAAGTTTTATCCCAAAGCAGACCACTTATCCTCTTAGCAAGAATAAACCAAGTTTCCCAGGACTACTGACCTGTCCTGGCCAGTTGGTTTGTAAATGTGGTCTGGTCTTCTGCAATAGAGATGAGGCAGTCATTACCACTTCTGTAAAACCCAAGCCTCAAAACATCTCTTCTTTACAAAATGAGGGAACTCGGCGTTTTCCCAGAGAGCTAAGACCTTTCTGTGAGAGCAACAGTGGCTTGCCTGTCCCAGAACTTTTGAAGCACCTGTCTGAACTCCATGTCAATGTCCATGGCCTCCTGAACACAGGTGCCATCTTTTTTTTTTCCAATCCTCACCCGAGGATGTTTTTTCCATTGCTTTTCAGAGAGAGTGGAAGGGAGAGAGAGAAACACTGATGTGAGAGAGACACATTCAGCAGTTGCCTCCCCCACATGCCCTAACCAGGGCCTGGGGTCAAGCCTGCAACCGAGGTGCGTGCCTTTGACCAGAATCGAACCCGAGACCCTTCAGTCCGCAGGCCGATGCTCTATCCACTGAGCCACACCGGCCAGGGTTGCAGATGCCATCTTGTCTTCCCAGACACCGTTTTTTCCTGACGGGACTCTTCCGATACAAATACCTTTGCCTTTCCTGCTTTGGAGCCCTTGCTCTTGGTGTTCCCTGCCTGGAACTCCCTTCCCTTCTTGCCCGCCCAAGGCAGTTCTCCGTCACGGTGCGCTTGGGTCCTGCATGACGATCTCCTGCTTCTCATCTCTTCCTACATGCTTCTAATTTACCAGATTTTATCTTCTGATGCCCTCTAGTTATTTTTATGGGTGTGAGCCTTTAATTTCTCCCAGAGCTTCTAAGATCTTAGAGATCCTGTGTTGGGTGCTCTCTGTGGGCTTTGCAGCACAGGACCTGGCGTGGGCCAACCCGTGGTTGACTAGCGTCCCTGGGGACGGCGTGGCCCAGCGTGCGCAGGGAGCTGCCGCCCCTGGCGCCCACCGTCTGGCCGCTGACTGTGTAGGCTGGGGACGAGGCTGACGGAGTCCTGCCCTTTCTCTGGATGTAAAACACCTTCATTCATGCTCATCTGCTCAGGAACCCGTAGAGGCCCAGCGCAAACGCGGGAGAATGAACCATCCCTGTCCTTGGAGAGCTGCAGTCTGGTTGGGGAGGTGGGAGTTGTGAACCATAATGACAGAACTGTCGGACTCTCGTTGACGTGGAGACCCAGGAAATGCCGGGTGTGCCTTGGCTCCTGTGCGCAGTAAGTGGGGCCCTGCTCTTGGTGCTGCACTGAGAATTTGCACATTTGCTTCCCCATCTAGAGCATGAGCTCTCGCAGGGTGAGCTGTGTCTCATTCGTTGCTGGGCCTCCAGTTTCTAGCTTAGTGCCTGGCACATACAGGCATGAAACAGGTATTTGAGTTTGCTGAATGAGGGAATTGATAAATGAGTGAATGTACCCAGTGTCACAGGAGAGAGAGGAGGAAGCAGAAGAGAGGAAGCCGGTGGCTTTGTAGAAAGACTAGGAGCTTGCTGAGCAGGCAGGAGGGGAGGGCATTCCTAGGAGAGGAGAGGGAGCTGCTTAGGCTGAGATACCAGGTGTGAAGCCCATGTGGGCGAGAAACCTTGCCTGGAATGGAATGGCCTGAGACAGCATGGGACAGGAAGAGGGGGGGAGGGAAGGAGGGAGTGGATCCCCACCTTGGTGCTCCTGAGCAGGCTGCGGGAGTTCTGCATGTCACCCGAGGCCAGCATTTGCTGCTGCATGCCAGTCCCTTTTCTCCACCCCCCAAACCTGGCTCCTTGCCCATGGGATGCAAAACTTTGAGTATTAGTTGAAGGCAACACTTCTCAAACTTTAATATGCTCAAGAGTCACCTGGAGATCTTGTTAAAAATGAATATTCTGATTTGCTGGGGCTGAAGTGGGACCTGTGGCCGTGTTTGTAAGGAGCTTCCAGGTGATGCTGATGATGCTGGTTTGGGGACCACACTTTGAAGGGTGAGGCTCGAAGGCAGATGGCCTCAGCTAGGCATTCCAAAGGCCAGGACAACCTGCTTCCGTTGGATTATTTGCCAGCAGGGCGGGTGACTGAGCGTTATCTAGTAAAATCTGCAGGGATGAGTGGTACTTGACAGAAAT